GGCCAGTAGGTGTTTTTTTTTTTATTACATTGATGTGTAGGAAACTAGACTACAAAGTTGTTTTTTAATGTAACTTTCTTGTTGTAAAGGATCTTCATTCTGGTCTCGTTGTTTTTAAGAGGTGTGTTTCCTACTGAGAGGGCGCTCGGTTAGCGGCCTTACCGGAGCCGGTTATCGGCCTTACCGGAGTCGACGTGGTGGCTGCGCACCGGCCTGTCGGTGACGTCACTGTGGGTGACGGCTGGCTGCGGGCCATCTGCACGCCGGTGAACTCTGTTGTCCTGCCAGGGGCGTCCTGCAGTGCACCATGGCCACGCACCAGATCCTGCTGCGAGGGGCCGCCCAGTGCCACCTGCTCCACGCGGCCATGAACCTGGTTCACGTGGTAAGTGGGCACGCCTTTCCGAGCGGGTGGGTGTGCAGGAGTGGACGGAGCAGTCCCGAGAACCGTCTCTTACAGGGCCGGCCCTTGGCTGGCAAGTAATAGGCATTTTCTTATAGAATGTTTTTGCTTTTAGATAGTGATCGTCTTGTTAAAGTTTGTAAGATGGTGACCTTGGTTTTAAGGAAAATATGTTTATAAAAAAATCACATTTCACAGGGTTGGTGGTCTATAATCAGTATCTTCATTTCAGAAGTTTGATAATATTTTCTTTTTAAAAATTATTTTTTTAAAGATTTCACTAATGTACTTTAAATAGTATACTAGGCTGCTTTTACGATGGTTTTATTTTATTCAATTTAAAGATTTAAAGTAACTATTAAAACTCCCCCCTGCCAGGAGGAAGTGTCGCTGTCAGACATCTCCGCGTTTCTCACGTCTCTGAGGCAGGAGGAGTCCCTGGGCCGGGGAACGTCCCTGTGGACAGAGGTGAGGAGGGGAAGGGTCTGATGACAAGGCCAGAAATCTTACAAACATGTTTGCTAGCTGAACCCATCAGTAGCCAGTGTGAGAGGAACAGAAAGTACTGCTGGGGAGAGAGAGATGCTCGCTGACCTGTCTGCTGGACAGCGTCTGCTGGTGAAGACCCACACGCACGGCCTCCTCCAGGGCTGAGCGGCTCCCTCATTGGCTCCTCAGGGTGGGGAGGGGTCAGAGTTAGTCTCAACTGATTTATTCGTCAGTTTTGTCCTTGGTCAAGTGAGGTACTCTTAGTTTCATTATTATCGTGTCTGCTTACATGTGATCTGGGGCTACCTTAATGGACTCGAAAACTTTTTAAAATTCTTACCTTTTAGAAAGACCTGATTATTTACTTTATATTTAAATTCATGTATGCATTTGCTCATTAAGAAATATCGGAAAAAGAAAGTTGAGAACATAGATTTCACAATTACATTTGATGAAAGAGGAATTCTGGGGAGTTCTGTGGCTTAGTTTTGCAAATCTTCTGAAAGGTGTAATGGAGAAGCTAGGACAGAAGTTGTCTTTTAAATTAATGTATTTAAAACACACATGATACGATAGAAAATAAACTTGTGAGGCGGCAGGAACTTTAATTATAACTTACATTTCACATTCTCTCAAAAATAAATATTCTTGTTTTAGTATGTGAAGCTAGGATGAATTTTAATTGAAGGTTATAATTTGTTTTACATAATGTGCTATTTTTCAGAGATGTTCTTTATTTTTTTAATTTTATTTTTAATTTTATTGATTAAGGTATTGCATATGTGTCCTCATCTCTCAGTTAACCCCCCAAACCCCTGCCCCACTCTTGCCCTCACCCTCCTGGTGTTCATGCCCATTGGTGGGTGTATTTGCACGCACACACTCCTTTAGTTGATCTCTCCTCCTCCCGCCCACCCTCCCCTGCCTCCCTCTAAGGTCTGGCGGTCTGATTGATGCTTCTCTGCCTCTGGATCTGTCCCTGTTCGTCAGTTTATGTTGTTCATCATATTCCACAAATGACTGAGATCATGTGGTATTTGTCTTCTCTGACTGGTTTATTTCATTTAACATAATGCTCTCCACTTCCATCCACGCTGATGCAAATGGTAAGAACTCCTTTTTTACTGCAGCGTAGTATTCTATTGTGTAGATGTACCACAGTATTTTAATCCACTCATCTGCCGATGGCCACTTAGGCTGTTTCCAAATCTTAGCTATGGTCGTTTGTGCTGCTATGAACATAGGGGTGCATATGTCCTTTCTGATTGGTGTTTCTGATTTCTTGGGATATATTCCTGGAAGTGGATCACTGGGTTGAATGGGAGTTACATTTTTAACTTTTTGAGGAAACTCCGTACTGTTCTCCTCAGTGGCTGCACCAGTCTGCATTCCCACCAGCAGTGCACGAGGGATCCTTTTTCTCTGCATCCTTTGTTGATTAGTTGATGATAGCCATTCTGACAGGTGTGGGATGGTACCTCGTTGAATTGATTTGCATCTCTCAGATTGTCATGACTTGGAGCATGTTTTCATGTGTCTCTGGGACTTCCTTGTGACCCTGTAGAAAAGTGTCTATTTGGTCCTTTGCCCCTTTTATTATTGGGTGGTTTATCTTCCTTGAAGAGACTGTCTTCACTCCGTTGTATGCTTTGCCTCCTTTGTCAAATATTAATTGAGCAAAGTGGTTTGGGTTGATTTCTGGGTTCTCTGTTCTATTCCATTGGTCTATATGTCCGTTCTTGTGCCAGTACGAGGCAGTTTTGAGAACAGTGGCTTTGTAATGTAGCTTGGTATCTGGTATTGTAATCCCTCCGACTTCGTTCTTCTTTCTCAAGATTGCTGCAGCTATTCAGTTCGATTTGTTGTGAAAGAAAGCAAATTGGCTTTGGGAAATTAGGGACCCTTTGTTCGGGTAGGCTTTTAAAACAAAGTAATAAGTGTTGTCTTCCCAGCTCTGTGATTGGCTGCGTGCTAACGAGAGCAGCTTTGGACGACCCTCAGCGCGTGGCTCTGTTGGACTTCAGGAGACGTGCTCTCTAAACGCTTACGTCAGGAGCCTCGTCCAGGAGTTCCTCACGTCACCTGCGTGGGAGAGTGAGTCTGAGGCCATTCTTCTGGATCGGTGTGACCAGGATTTTCGGGGAACTTTATCTGGTTTCAGATCGAGTTAGGGCTTTACCACCTCTGGGTGGTAAGAGAGAAGGATGGAGGGACTGGGCCCGTGGCTGTGTGTGTGATCTCAGGCCGTGGCACCTCGGCTGCTCCGTTATCACCGAGTGTCGGGGAGACACAGTCCTCGAGCCGCTGGAGTTTGGAGCCTCCTCTTGGGCAGGTTCTGCTCATGCTTTGCCAACTCGCCTTTCTCCTGCAGCCGGAGAAAACTGCCGGATGCCTGACTGGGCTGACGCCAAGCTGGTGGCTCTGATGGTCTTGCTGGCGGTGGACGTGGACGGAAGGAAGGCCCAGCACAGGTAATTCCCCGGAAGGGGCTGCTCAGTGACGGGGCACATTCAGCCTTGTCCCCGATGGGCCGGCACTGACCACAGGGCGTGAGAGGAAGGCCCTGGAACACTGGCAACACGTTATTATACGTTAACAACAGCTCACAGCACAAAAGGCTCGCAGGTTGGTGACTGGGAGAGAAGGTTAAACAACCTACAGTGATCTCTGAACACGTAATAATCTGGCCTGTGTGTGTGTGTGTGTGTGTGTGTTAGAGGTCCAGTGCATGAATTCATGCATGGGTGGGGTCCGGCCAGCCTGGCCACGGGGAGGGGACATGGGCGGTTGGCCAGCCTGCCTGCTGGTCGAACTCCTAATGGAGCGGACAGTTTGCACATTAGCCTTTTATTCTCTAGGATTGACACGGAGTGGCCAGATGATTATGCGTTCAGAGATCATGGTAATCAGGCCACTCGGTGTGTACTTAGTAGAGGCCAGGTGCGTGGGATGCGGGCGCTGGTGGGGGCGTGGCCTGCGGGGATCAGCCCCCTCGGAGCCCCGCCCATCCAGGCCAGCTGTGGGTCCGCCCTCTGAGCAGCGGCTCCCTGGTCCGGCATCTCCCATGGAGCCGGAGCACTTGTCTCTCCAGGGCACCCGGGGGGCCAGGCCCGGGGGCAGTAGCACTGAGGTGGGGAGTAGGCTCAGTCCCTCTGCTAGCCGGGGCGGCCTGCGGGAGTCTGAGGAGGAGCCTGGGGCGAGGAGGCGAGCGATGGCAGCCCGGGTTCCTGCCCAGAGGCCCCAGGTTCACAGCAGGAGCAGCTGCTCATCCCCGTCAGCCATGTGGCTCCCCCTGTGGGAGCGCAGTGACCACCAGGGGGCAGCTCCTGCACTGCACTTGGTGGTCAGTGCACATCATAGTGACTGTATGCCCGTCATTCTGGTCTTCTGTCGTTTAGGATATGTACGTATTTACGTACACACAGACACAACACGTATGTGAATGTCTATCTTTAACATGTCTCCTCGCGTCGACCAGCATTTGTGTTTTTGAATTGGGAGGCAGGGGCTCAGCATTTCACTCCGCAGACAGAACTGTGCTTCCTACTGCGCCCGTGTGCTCGCCCCGGGCCTCGCTGCCCTCGGGAAGGTCAGGCCGGGCTCCGCAAGCAGGTCGGGGAGCGGCCAGTCCAGAGGCGCTGGGGGTGAGCTCGCCACGGGAGTGCCTCCGTCTCATCGAGTGGCTCTGACTCATCAGGTCACGGTTCTACAAACGGAGATAACTTCCTCATGCTTTTGAAATTCTTGTTTTTTAACCTCTAGCGAGAGGCAGAGGACGCAGAACGTGCTGAGGCTGTTCCTCGACCCGCTCCTGGACGCCCTGGCCAAGCTGGGCTCGAATGCCTACCTGCCGCTGCGGAAGACGGACCGGAGCCTGCAGGCGCTGCTGGCGCTGCTGCGCACGTGCCCGCCGAGGGGCGCCCGCGCCCCCGACGGTGAGGACGGCTGCTCTCCCGGGCACAGCCGGTGGTTAGGAGGGGAGATCCGACCTGGTCTCTCCTGTGGGCGGGCCCGGCTTCCCCCGGGGGTGACTGCGGTGACGTCCACTGGGCACTGTTGACTTCAGAATGGCGTTCATTTGCTTCTGTCTTTTAAAAGCTTGTGTTTCTGCAGCCGTGTCAAATTCGGTGCCTGCCCCCACGGCCGGCATCAGCCGAGAAGGTTGCCATAGAAACACTGTGGCCCACGGGCGCTGGGCCCCGCTGCTGGGCCTCGGGGATGCATTTGGCTGCAGACACCAAGCTCCTCGACCTGGCGGCTGGGGGGTGAGGGTGGGGGGAAGCATGGTTCAGGTTAAAGCCATAGTTGGGATGAGCTGGATTACCTCTGGAGGGAAGAAACCATCAGCTTCCCCACGGCTGGGAGGTCAGACTGTGAGCTCAGGAGGGCTTCTGGGTCTGCCGTGAATGCTCACGTTCTCCGGTGGCCCCCAGAGGAAAAACAAACAAAACTTACGTCTGCTGCTTAATTTTTAGACCCTTGACCATGACCTGTTTTATGTATTAAAGCAAGATCCGTTCCCAGCTGCCTCTGGGCGAGGTGCTGCAGGACGTGAGCTAGACCCTGAGAGAGGCAGCGACTTCCTACCCATTGTTTAAGTGAGCTCCTCTCTGAGCGCTTTAAGCAGAAAACGCTTCCTGTAGACAGAACCGCAGTATCGCTCCGCCTTAGACCGCCTTAGGGCGCATCTGCAGCGGGAATCGCTAGCGATGAGCATGAGCGGACCCTGGCTTCCAGTCCCTCCGGCCACTTTGCTGTGGATTGAGGACATTTAAAGTTTAAAGAATTCCAGAGAAACACTGATGAGATCAGTTGTAACACATGCGTGTGGGATAGCAGGGCTGGGCTCAGAGGTCTGGGGTTTTGGTAACGGCAGCAGAACCGAATGCCGCCTTCGGGCCTGGCACTCCCCGAGGCTCCCAGGGTCAGCTCCCCTCCCCCCGGCGTGGTGACTGTTCCCGTGTTGGCACCTGCGTTTGGTACGGGGCTCACCCACGTGCTCGCCATAGCTGTGCTTGCACCGGGCTGGGTGTGTTTTGTGCCGGACGGCTGATCTCTGCCATTGAGCCGATCACTCTCCCCGCAGACGCGGTGTCTCCTCTCCTCCAGGACCTGGTCATGTCCGCCGCTGAGAGCGTCTCCGCCTTCCTGCTCCGGAGGCTCGCTCTGAGCGAGCTGAGCACTGTGAGTGTTCATCGCATGACTCCCCTTCTTGTTTGTGTTAGTTTTTATTGATTTGAGAGAGAGCTCCCTCCTGCGCCCCCCTCCCCCCGCCTGGGAGTGCTGGGTGTTAGGACCGTCCACCGAGGGGTCCTGTTTCACTGAGTCCATTGGTGCCACCGCTGACCGCCTGGCAGGTGCCCTGAGCCAGAGCGGAGCTGCCCCAGGCGCTCTCGGGCCCCAGCAGCTCGGCAGGAGCTTCCCCAGCCCCTCTCCCCGCGTGTGTCACCCCCGGCGGCTGGAACCTGGCAGAGGGCCCGGCGTGAGGGGAGCCCGGTGAGCTCCGATGGGGCGAGAGGGCCTCGGCCGGCACGGTGATAGCGAAGGCCCAATCCCAGCCACGCGGTGCAGCCGGTCAGCGCGCGCGCTCGGTCTCAAACCCGGGTGGGCACACGTGGCCCTCCCGCTGTGGGGACAGGAGCTCGGGGCTCAGGAGCTGCCGAGGCCACAGCGGAGGTGAAACGGACTGAGCCCCGCTCTGCGCGTCCACGACCCTCGGCTCGTTCCGCCCGCCCTCTGGGCTCGGAGGCCGAGCGGCTCCGCCTTCCGGAACGTGGTGTCAGGGCGGTCGGTGAGGTAGCTGCGCAGCAGGCGGGGCCCCGGGGGCTCCCCGAGGAGTCCTGGCTGCTGGGGACGGGTGGCAGGCCCGGGGGAACGGCCTGTCTCGGCGTGCGTGATGCTTTCACACACGCACTTCCTGTCTGAGCCGTCGTGTGCCAGGCGTGGGCCCTGCGTGGTGACGTGTCGCTGTCTGTCGTAGGTTGCAGACCTGGACCGCTGCCAGCTGTACCTGCAGGTCTTCGCCGAGCTGGCCGGCCTCGCCGGGACGCGGGGCGAGAGGGGCAGCCCCGCCCTGAGGATCGTTTCCCCTCTGAGAGACGCCTCCCTCCGGCACCTGCAGGGCGCGGACAGCGGGCTGGTAATGCTGGGCTTCCGTTGAGAAGGGTTTCAGGAGGGGGGCTCGGGGTCCTCGCTCCTGGCAGGAAGGCACTGGGTCCGCCTGCCGCAGCCTGGCGCTCTCCTCGCCGCCGCCCCTGCGCGGCCTTGGCCCCAGGCGGCTTCCCCTTGCTTTTGGGGTGATTGAAGGCTGTCTGTCTCCACCAGGGCTCAGTGCCTGGAGGCGTTTCTTAAAGAACAGGATAGGCGGAGTGGCCGTGAGCACAGGCTATGGAGTTAGTCGTCCTGGGGGTGAATCTGACTTTGTCCCCGCTGCTGTGTGACCTCGGGGAAGTCACTTCCCCTCTCTGGGCCTCAGACCTGCAGTTGCCGGGCGTCTCGTTTCCTCCTTTCTGCTCGCATGGCGGGCACGGGGTTGCCTTTGTGTCCTCTGATGCTCAGGAGCAGGAGGGGAGACGGGCAGGATCTCCGAGGTCGGGCAGCCTGGGTCCTGCCCCCCATAGCGCTCCCGCTGAGTGACGGCGCTGTTTCCCGCTCAGGTGCCCACGCTCGGGAGGCAGGTTCAGAGGGCGGTCAGCATGGCCGCCTTGGCCGCGGTGTGTGAGGTGTGCGAGGCCCTCGGCCAGACGCCAGAGCTGCAGCGGGACCCTCCAGATGCCGGGCCCACGGACAGCCTCCTGGCCGCCCTCCCGCTCAATCAGAGGCTGCAGAAGCCACAGCCAGAGGAGCAAAGCAGGTGTGTCCCCCCGGAGGGGGCGTCCTCCAGCATCCCACTGCTCGTGTGGGAGCCCAGGCTTGTTCAGGGCGTCACCCGACGCTGGACAGGGTTCAGGAACTCCGAGCGGAGTTCCGTTCAGGCTGGTCACGTGTCCCAGTGGTTCATCTCCGTTACGGACACCCGGGAACTCCCCGCGTTTAGTCTCCAGTGAGTCACACCTTCATGGTTAGAAGTCGAGGTCCGTGAGTCTCCCGGTGTTCCAGTAGACAGGCTGTCTAACGCCGACTTAGTTTCTCCCTGGAAGGCACTGAGCCGGACTGACAGAAGGACAGCAGTGCCTGGCTTTCCGTTTCAGTCTTCTGGAAGAATCGCCGTCCTCCCCAGGATGGGGCAGAATCGCCGCGCAGTACGTCCACGACCAGTGGGCCTGCCTCTCCTTCCTGCTGAAGAAGAACCCCGCCCTTCCCCCCGCCTCGGAGGGTGCAGCCCTGGACCCCGTCCCGCCCGCCGTGCAGACGCCCGAGAGGACTCTGCAGGCCGCGCTCGCCGCCCTCACCGTCCTCCCCTCCGACCGCGTGGTGCCTGTGTTTCGCTGCATGAAGCTGCTGGTCCCCCAGGTAGGCAGCGAGTCCTGGGTCATACCGTTCCTGAAGTGATGTGATGGTCATGTCTTCTCTTCCTTTCCCCCCCAGCTGCTGGCCGCCTCTGAGTCCGTCTGCGTCGAGGCGTTTGACGTGGCTTGGAAAATTATATCTACTCTGAGCAACACTCAGCTGGTGTTCTGGCCCAATTTAAAAGCTTTCGTTCAGTTTGTGTTTGATACCCAGGTTCTTACCATTGCTGCAAAAATCAAGGGCCAGGCATACTTCAAAATAAAAGAGGTAACTTCCTTGTAATTTGGGGTAAAAAACACGTAACATAAAATGTACCGTCTTAACCCTCCTGAGGTGCACGACCCTGCTGGCCCCGCTCTGCTCAGCACACACATAGGCCCCAGGTCTTTGCTGACTCGGGGAGGGAGGTCACTTACAAAATGCAGAGAAACCGAAACTGTTGGGGAGGTATTTTTTCTCTCCTTTCCTTTGGACAGTGGCTTCTCGGGAGTTCTAGGTGAACTCACCACCAGTGACATCTTGTTGCAACTGAGAAATGAAAATGCGTAGTCTGTGATTGCTGAGCATCTTGCAGACTTCAAACGACAGAGAATTTTTAATTTTTTGGACTGTTCATGCTTGTGTGGGAACCACCATTTGGAGCCAGTCCCAGGCAGTTTCTAGCAACAGGAACTTTTTGGAAACAAAACAACTACCTTGGTCAGAGGGTACACTGACTGTTGGCTTTCGTTCCAGATTATGCACGAGATGATTGACATGTCGGCTGTGAAAACCGGAGTCTTCAATGCCCTGATAACTCACTGCTGCCAGGCGTGGCTGGTGCCTGCTCCAGACGGGTCCCAGGGGTCTTTTTCAAATGCTGCCAGTTACAGCAAGCTGGTCCTGGAGGCGTGTGTGTTTGGGCCTGTGTTCCGGCGTGATCAGAGGTAAGGCTGTCATTATTTCAACCTGCCCTCACTTACATTAAGTACCTGCATGGGTAGACTTGCTATTTTGAGCTTTCACTGAGCAGAATACAAAGTTTTGGTTCATTTAAATTTGGGGCCTTAATTTCTTCTTTTCTGTCTAAAACCTGTTCTTCGTAACATGTTTCTTACGGACAGACTCATTCAGGACGTGCAGACCTTTATCGAAAATCTTGGACATGATTGTGCGGCAAATGTTGTTATTGAAAAGTAAGTTCGAGGATTTCTCACATCTCGTCATAAATGGAATGTTCACAATTGAACGTCATATGAGAAACATTCTGTATTTGTTAAATTTTTTAAAATATATTTTTATTGATTTCAGAGAGGGAGAGAGGGGTAGAAGAATCAATGATGAGAATCATTGACTGGCTGCCTCCTGCACACTCCCCACTGGAGATGAGCCCACAACCCGGGCATGTGCCCTGACTGGGAATTGAACTGTGACCTCCTGGGTCATAGGTCAATGCTTAACCACTGAGCCATACTGGCCGGGCAACAATTTCATTTATTTTACTGGACACTGTAAGTGCTGGGATGCAGAGAGCACAGGGTGCCCCAACTTTGCCCTTCACGGGAGAACACACTGGAGGCGGAGTCTCGCCCCTGAGCTGCTCACAGTCCTCGCTCAGGAGCAGCCTCGTGAGCTCTGAGCTGTTCTGTGCAGAGGAGCTGCTGCTGGCCGCCTGTGCTTGTTCCCACTTCCTGCCCAGGCACCCCGTGTGCCATTCGTTCGGCACCTCCCCCGTCCACCCTGGGTGACAGCCCTGTCCTGAGCGTGGGCCCTCGTGACTTCAGAGAACTTCGGAAGGTCTTGATGTTTATG